AGGGGATAGGAAAGGCAGCAAAATACAACAGACACTAGTATGGCAGTATGTATAATTGTGGATGTGTAACTGATGTGATTCTGCAATATGTATACGGGGTAAAAATGGGAATTCATAACCCACTTGAATCAAATGTATGAAATATGATATGTCAAGAGATTTGTAATGTTTTGAACAACTAATAATAATAAAAAAGAAAAAGAAAAAATGTTCACTAATATTGATTCTAGCTAGTGAATGTCTCTTGCATATTTAAGTAAGTTTTGAGTTAGGTATGAGTGATTGAAACCAGATTTTCTAATGGATTCCCTGTAAGATATGATTTAAGACATTATTCTGTTGAATGCCTCTTATGTTAACTACTCTTAAAATTTTAATATCAAAAAGGTATCTTAATAGATGCTTCTTGTCATATAATTATCACTTAACTTGCTGATTGCCTTTCCTATCAGGAAGTTAAGTTTAATGTTCAAAATAAATAATCTGTTAGCCATACATACTGTTCTCATAGTTTTATTTTTGTGTATCAATATTAACCACCTGGGCTGGGGCTGTAGCTCAATGTCAGAACACTTGCCTAGCATATGTGAGGCACTGGGTTCAATCCTTAGCACCATGTGAAAATAAATAAAATAAAGGCATACTGTCCATCTACAACTACAAAAAAATTGTAAAAAATTAACCATCTTTTTGTACATGTCAGTTGCTCTGTTCTTTTAGAAAAAGAATAAAAATCATTAATAGTGGCAGGCACAGAAAGACAATACATATTTTGTTGAGTAAAAAGTACACCTATTAACGAACAATATGTTTTTGTCAGAAACCAAATAATCAAATGTAAAACATGGTGGCTTACTTAAAAATACTTCATAAAAATTGAAATTACCTATGTTCAGAAAATACACCAAATGTATCTTAGATTATTTAAATAGGAGAGAAAGGCAAGGACTGTGGCTTAACATATGCATAATCAGGGAAGTCCTGTAGAGGGCTGAGGGAAGGAGATACCTGGAGTTCGAGGATGCTTTATGCTTGGGTAGAGCAAGTTCTAGGTTACAGAAGAGACCAATAATACAAGGAAATGAAATTTTCCTTTTAAAAGAAAACCCTAGTATTTTCAGACAATCTGTTTCTTCAAGAGGACACTGGGGAAGTCACAGGGGAAACAAATTGTGATCTGTGTCTTATATACCTCTCATCCTCTGAATCAACCTAATCAAATTAAATCATGTTTAGCCTGCTAGGCCCAAATTATTTCAGGGACCCACTGAGCAAAAAGTACATTCTCTATTCTAGTAGCTAATGCTTAAAGGACAACTGCAGAATAAAGTATTTTAGAAGAAATAAGTTTCTAAAAGTATTGTGATATGCAAATGGTAACCACATAGTTTACTATGGGATTGGGAAACTGGAAACATGGAAAAACAAAAGTAGAGAAGAGTTGAAAAGAAGTGACTAATGGGAAAGCAAATTTTAGACATCCTAAAGCTGGTCTAGGATGTGTACTACTTAAGAAGTTGAAAAAAAAAAGAAAGATACGTAGAGATTCTGATCACCATGCTCCAAATGCATTTCTGAAACACATATGAGATCAAATTTATATGTGTGTATGAAAAGGTGTCATAATTTAACATGGTCTATAATGTGTGATGGTTTTGCTAAAATGTCTATTATTATCAATGGAATTTTTCCAAACATAGAGACTAAGATTTTAATTTTATATTCACTGTAGAAAAGGTTGTTCACCTTAAGTCAGTAATTCCCAAGTTTTCAATTCTGTGACTATTTAAATGTAATTGACACAGGAGCATCAAAATAGGTGGGAATCGTAATTTAGAACCTAGCACATCAAGTTTCTATTGTGTGTATACCTGATATATAATTTAACATGACCTACAAACATGTGACTTCTCTTTTGGCTAAATGTCTCCTATTTTATTTGATTCCAAGTTTAAAAGAATTATTATTATTTAAAAGAATTATTTTTGTTATATAATTATATATTATAACATTAATTTTTATAGGCATGCCACATCTGGGACAATGGGACAAAACAGGTTAACTTACTTGGAGACAAATGCATTCTCCTGATAAGTCCTAAAAATTATGTTTATGTTTCCATCCTCATTTTCTTCAATTCCTTTGTTTTTTTAAGAACATTAGGTAAATGATTGTAAAGTACGAAAAATATTACAGTTCAGGAAATATTAAAGTTTATGGCCAATAAGCAATATACTGATAGTTGTTATATCTGGCTCCTGATGGATGTATGCAAGTTTCAATTAATTCTGCAATTATCTGTGTTTAATAAAAGCAGACAGAAAATTTTATATCCATAAATGATCAAGCAAGCTCAAGTATAAAATGTTAGAAAGTTGCAGCCTTTTTATTTAGTACCAAGAGAATGCCAGTAATTTAACATGATATCTTGATAAATGTTGCTCACAGAGTTTTAACAAGAACAAAAAATATATAAATTTTATGTCTTCTTTGGCATGTTATATATTCAAAATGATAGCCATTTCTTTAGCAGCACTGTGAGGGAAAAACATTGTAAAAATACACTACTGGATTTGGTTTATGTGATGAAAAGTGTGATACAATGAATCAAAACTTCAATGCCAAAAAGAACTGTGCTTTAAAGAAAATATTTGTAAGATAAATAATGGCATAAAATTTATAATAGTCAAAAAGAGAAAATAGATTTATCTGAACACTGGGGTCCTTTTTTTCAATTGTAGCTTTTAAGTTTGTAACTACATGTGAATCAAATTTATACATAACTTCTATTTAACACCATTTCTATCTTGAGAAGTGCAACAAAAGGAAGTAAATTAATACTTCTATATCAGAAAGTAGGTATATAAATTCAAAAGTGCTTGGGAAGTGGTGGCAAATCATTTTTTAAAGTCTCTATAGCATAGTATGCTCTCTGCATAAAGCCTATGTAACTCACAACTGCCAATGCTACTTCCTGTCTAAAAACAAAACAACAACAACAAAATATCAAACTCAGAAAAAACAATTTCCCTTTCTTGTACTATGGAATTTAGTGCCATATAATTTTCTATTTCAAAATCATGCTAGAATTTGCATGTTTAATTAAGATTTTATATATAGCTTTAAAAATGATGGTTTCTTACTAGGCTGCTTTCTTGCCATTAAATATAATTTTATCATACTAAAAAAACTTACATTTTTGCTATAAGTGGTATCCATATCAGAGAGAAGGTATTCAAACAGAAAAATCAAATATGATCTGAGCAATATTAGTTGATAGGAAAGAAAAAAGTAAATAATTGGTCACGATATAAATTATTAAAAAACTAATGCACTTATTTCAACATACTCTAAAACTATCCCACATAAAATTAATAAATCTTTTGAAGAGTAGTTTCCATAACTAGACAACTAGAAAGTAAAACAGTCATCCAAAGAATTCCCATTATCCAGAGTTTAAAAATGTAAACACAGAACAAACCCTAACATGGCAATTGTGTATGTGTGTACACACATGCACAAACATACACATAACAAAAAACACATATGTATATATAAGCATTTAGCTAAATTTCTTGCTAGATAATAATTGAAAGATGCATCATTTGCCAATACAATATAAGTAAGCTTAAATTTGTCTATCCTAAAAGTACTTTTCCTTTGTCTTCTGCTTCATATTTCAAAGAAAGCTATGCCTATAATTTAGGATTTATCAACTTCCATTTCCTCCCGTCAATCAAATCAGTAAATCAATCAAATTAATTTACTTGAAGTATGACAGATTTCACTATTTTGTAAGACTAAAACTAGGAATAGTGTATTCATGAGATTAATATGTTGTGAATAATCACTATCAATGCTATTACATTCTTCATAGGAAGGCAGATAACAACAATACTGATTTATTCTACTAATTTCAGCTGCAGATCTTGAGATAAATGCTAAACTATGCCTGGATAAGTGTTGGAATGTAAAAAAACATGTTCTAAAACAGTTTAATTGCAGTTGACCAATATCTATTATGGCTTGCATTTTTCTTGCAAAATAAATGATAAATAGGATTTATACATCCTGAAATCTAGACAAAGTGTTTAAAAACTTGGGATCCATAGATAGTTTGCATCCAAACTCTCTGTGCTTTTATTCTCTACCAATATAATGGGAGGAGGTATAAAAGTCCTTGTGTTACAAATTATGTACTTTGAGAAAAAAGAATACAGACAAATATGGGCTTAACAACATATACAGAAATGATCATCAATCACAGACTCTCTCCATACTATTTTGTAACAGAAGTTCATTACTACCAAAAAGCTTAGAAGATGGTAAAAGAAAATGAAGACTGAAAATCAGAAAGTACTATGGAAAAAAGAAATAATTTATTATATAATTGAACCTTGGACCTACTGTGTAAGTTCTTTACACACACACACACACACACACACACCCCCAAAAAAACCTTCACTAATAACTGAATTTAAAATTAATTTCTTTTTGTTAGAATTTCTGAAACTCCTATAAACTAGAAACCTGTCTGTTTAGTGGACATATTCCTTAGAAAATGCCAATTATCTATTAGCCAATATTGGAAAAATGTGAAGTAATTTAATGAGACAGCATGCATTTCACTTTTTAGCTGAAAATAATCGTTCTGAGGGAATGGAAGTCCTGATATGGGGAAGAAAAAAGGATTGAGGCCCTTTTGGCACACAGAAAACATGATAAATCTTAATGATGGAGTAGTCCCCGTGAGGTGTTTAAGTAGGAAAGCAGCAGAAAGAGAATGTAGAGTGCCAAAGACAAACTCTGCCTTGGTGGAAATATAATTTTTCTAGTGTAAAGTAAGTATTGTTTTATTTTCCTTCTTTATCCATGAAAGGCCTCTTACTATTAGAATAAGACTATTCAATATGTATGAATAAGTGTCCATGGGCAGTACTATTTTAACATATTGTTTCAATGGGGGAGATGTTATAAACACCAAATATCTTTTATTAAGTTTGTGGGATGCCTAACATGAAATCATTTTGAGCTAACCAGAAGAGCCAACAAAAATGTTTTATTATATCTAGTAACGAATGAAAATAAACTACAAATAACAAGGTTTAGGTATTCCTGAATCTAACAAAAACAGGCTCAAATTTTATCTTCATAAAAGAACGGAAACTACTGTTTTACCCACAAAAATCAGTCAACAGTGCTACACTTCTAATTTTCTTGCAAATGGTTTCCTGAGTGTATTCATGGTAATATGTGCCTTAGAATGAAAGACTGTTAATCTACTGAGCAAATTTGGTATTTTCCTTTAAGAAAAATAATAAATAAGTTCAATATTGTCTCCCTTTCAGAAAAAAAAACTCAAACTGTTATATCATTAAATATTATAAATAACCATTAACTGGAAAGAAAAACAATGTAATTAATTCATGAATCTATTAGAAACCACAGAATCATTTTGTTGGTCAAGCATTTATAGAAGTCTCATTAAAAATGTTCCATTCAAATCTAAATTTATGGTTAGAGTTATAGCCAAAAAGTAGATAATTAGGCATCCCTAGCTGGGCACCTCCTACAAAATGAGGGTACATTTTAAGCTTTCCTTTATAATAAAGTTGTCCTTACTACTATAGTTCTTAGTTTTGCATGTTTACATATTCCAGCAGAAAACTGTTTTACAATTATTGGGTATATCCACTTGTATCTTTCAGACTGTCAGTCCTCACTGGGTGATGAGGAATCATAATGATCACTGCTTATTTCTTACAGTGTTCCTTTCATGATGGAACTGTGTGATATGATCTTTTTGAACATAATAACTGAAAATTGACCATCTACTTTTAAAAACCATTGAATATAAAAAGCCAGAAGTTTATTTTCTGATCATTTTTCAATTTCACTTCCCTTAATTTTATTACATGAAAAGTATATATGGATATAATATTTGTGCTGAAAAGTTTAGCACTGAAATTATACCTCTGAGTTTGATGTATCAATTCTGATAAGAAGATGGCATAACAACACAAACAAGATAATGACAAGAGGAAAATAAATATATGGACACAAACTGTTACATGCAAGCACTTAATGTAATTAAGCAAAATGAAGAATAAAAAAGCCAAATTGGAACATAAAGAGCCACAAAATATAGTACCAATTTAACCACTTCTAAGTAATATTTCCATGTAGTATTAGATATTTTTAATGTTTTTTAAATGTTTCAAAAATCACCTCAAAATAAGAACACATACTTTTATATATTACACCCAGAAACAGATTTTTGTGCATGGTATAGATCACTTACATTATAAAGATAAGATGTATAATTGGTTTATTAAATACCAAAGGTACATGTCTTCTAGCCTAAACTGTATACTCAGCAATCAACTGTCTCTGAATTAAGAAAAAAACACACAGCAAACAGTACATCTAGCACACACAAGTAGTTCACTTATATTCATTAAACAAAACTATGATATCCTGCAAATTACATTCATGAGTTCTTTCTGTCAGTAGTAGTAGTAGTAGTAGTAGTAGTAGTAATGGTATTTTATTCAACAACACAAACAATTTTTTTTAAATTTCAGTATTTAGAGAAAACAATTCATATTAACACAGTGGTTCTGAATCATAAATTTAATAAGACCAATTTGGCCAGATATCTTTTATAAATATGATTTTTAAATGTGCTCAACCTTTTTGTAGAGGATTAATATTACTCCTATTTAAAATGTTAGTTTTTCTTCTCAAAGCATAACTATTATGTAGCACTGTCTAAAGTTACTGAAATACATTATACTATACCATATGTGCTAAGAGCACAAGTCCACTACAATACAATTTCAACTATATAATCATAGGATTCAAGGTAGATTGGTATGCTACATTGTAGCTCAAAGCACATAGAAATCAGAAAAATAACAGTGTAGTTCATTTATAAAGGGGATAGATGATGACTAAATCCAATTAGTGAACTTGAAAGTCTGGTTACATAACACCAAGATAGTGTTAACACCATGTACTTTATTATCAAAGGACTAACTATGACCTGTTTGGAAGATTATAACACCAGTATAAAGTCTTTTGATATTTTTTCATTTGTACAACAATTCTGTTGTAAATTGTTAGAAACCTTATGAAAACCATTCCTAGATGAGTCCACTTATGGATAAATATTTAGGTCTGTCTCACACATTACTGGTGATTTAATTCTTCCATAAAAACTTTGGCACCAATCATATCATATATTAGGATAAATGCATCTCACTCTGGCACCAAACTACTATGACAATAATTTAGTAGCCATAAATGAATGGAGTCCTTTGGTTATGCACAACAAACTTCCACACATTTGCTTTTCTTTGTAGAAAAAAAAAAGCCTATCCTTCAAGATCAGATGTTAAAAAAATACTGACGTTGCTTGGCATTACACTAAAAGCATGATTTCTAGACCATTATTATTTGAATCCACTAAAACTAAGAATAATTTTACTTGAAAAGAATTTTAGACATGTATGTGCAGAGAAGTTTTTAAGACCTGTGGATTACAATTATTTCCTGATACAAACACTTGGACATGACTACAAACAACACAGTATGAATATTGTGGACCTGTTTTTTTTTTTTTTAACTTCACTCCCCTTAAAAAAGGGTCTAAACAGAATATTCAAGTAATATAGCAGAAAACAATGCTATTGATATAAGATTAGGCAAAAAGCCACATGTTTAATTTTCTCTTCATCCTGTTTAGCTGAGGAACACTGCAAATCTTACAAGCCAGTTGATGTTCGCTTTTTCATGCTCCGTCGCTGAGCTAAGCTTGAAGCAGCTACAGGCTCTAGGATTGGTTGAAAAGTCTTGTGAGTCAGGGCAGAATATGTGGCAACAACTTCTCCCTAGAATAGAGTAATAATCTCAGATTAAATAAATAAATAAATAAATGGATAAATGAATGAATGAACGAATGAATGAATGAATACAAATTTCCCCATTATATTTTTCTAGAGCAAAATTATGCCCCAGGAAAATAACTGAATATATTCTATGCACTGATTCTGCTTTGGTGAATTAATAACTGATTATTTGTATATTTTTCATTTAAACGAGTATTCTTCTAATGCAAAATTGTTAAGACACTAAAATGCAATATCTAGACTCAATGTCTATGAATACAGAAACTGGAACAAATGGTTATAATATAGGAATTAATAGCAATCTTGTTTTCATATGAAACGTGACCATTCAGATCACTCCTAGATCAAGTGTCTCTTATAAGTAAGGCAATCAGTAATTAAGACTTTTTTAAAATTTTATCATCAGAAAGCCAGTAGCAAAGAAAAGTTAAGAAGAGTACATGGTTGCTATTATTAAAAAAATTTTAAAAAATCTAAAAAATAAAGATATATTAAGAAATTAAATACCTATAATTAGTGAATATCATACAATGGCTTCATTAGATAATAAGTTTTAGAAGGCACATAAAAGTATGTTTATTTTACCTTAACAATGTGTGATGAATCATTTCTATTTGGCTGATCATTCGGCAGCTGATCCCTGTGGGTTATCCATGAGTGCTTTAATACTTGTTCAGTAGTGTATCTCTGATGAGGGTCCATATGAAGCATATGGGAAAGCAAATCCTAAAAGAAAATGAAAAATATATATGGAAAATCTTGGGATAAGCTACATGATCAAGGGGAGAAAGGAGCTACTGAACTTGGCTGGTAAGCTGGGCCCAATGGTACAAGAGTATGTGTATTTAGACACAAAATAGAAGGGGCAGTCCAATGTAGTTAATTCGCTCATTAACTAGGGGCTTACTGCACAACATACTAAAGAAAGCAAAATATAAATCCAATGTTAGCAATTAGAAGCAATCATAGCATTGTGAGTTTTACATCAGAGTAATTATAAATATGCTTATTTGAACTGTCATAATAAAACACTGTGAACTTAATATACTCTCATAGTAAAATAAAATTTTAAAAAAATAGTTGTAGATGGACACAATACCTTTATTTTGTTTACTTTTTTTTTTTTAATGTGGTGCTCGGGATCACAAGCACTTTACCACTGAGACACAACCCCAGCCCAAAATGAAATATTAAATATTCTAAATTATGTAACAGTTTAAATAAAATATCCTTAAAATATTTTATAAAAAGAGGTAGTAAACTCCTTAACAAGCATTTTCTAATAAAGAAAACCATCATTTGTGAATGAACCTTTCATCAATAGCAAAAGCAGAAACTAAAGGCTCTTAGTAGTAATACCAGATTATAAAGAATGATAATATTGGCTGGAACTGTTTAAGGGACTAGGACAACCAAACAAGACAATCTACTAAGAAAACAACAGATGTGAATAAATAAATAAATATGTAGAATATTAAAAAAGATATTGGGCACATACTAACCACCTGATAAATGATGGTTATTATTATGATTCATTAAAACAACCAGCATCAAGCTGTTTCATAGTGGGGTAGGGAGGGGGAGCATGGGAGGAATAGACAAACTCTAGACAGGGCAGAGGGGTGGGAGGGACAGGGAGGGGGCATGGGGTTAGAAATGATGGTGGAATATGATGGACATTATTATCCAAAGTACATGTATGAAGACAAGAATTGGGTGAATACAATTTGTATACAACCAGAGATATGAAAAGTTGTGCTCTATATATGCAATATGAAGTATAATACATTCCATTGTCATATATAACAAATCAGAATACAAAACTAAAACAAAATTTAAAAAAATAAGTTGCCGTGACAAAGCAGCAAGGGTTATATTTAAAGCATAAAATGGACCACTGTTACAATGTCACAATAAACTTCACTAAAACTTCCAGCAAAAAAGATAATCATTTCAATAAATCACATCTAAATTGAGATCATAAATTAAAAATAGAACCACTATATAATCTAGTATTCCCACTACTGGTAGGTATCCAAAGGAAATGAATTCAGTATATCAAAGAGATAACTGCATTCCAATGTTCACTGCAGCACTATTCAAAACAGCCAAGAAATGGAAACAACCTGTCTATACAATAATGAATGGATTAAAAAAAATGTGTACATATACACAATAGAACCCTATTCAGCTATGAAAAAGAATAAAATCCTGTAATTTGTTACAAACTGGGTAGATCCAGAATCATTATATTAAGTGAAGTAAATGATTCACATAACAACAAGTGCCTCATGATCTCACTCGTTATATGTGGAATCTAGAAAAGTCAATCTCATAGAAGTCCAGAGTTAAAACGGTGGTTATAATAAAAGGCCAAGGAGAACAGATGAAAGGGAGAAATGGGTGAAGGTTTATCAATGGGTGCTAAGTTACAGTTATATAGGAGCTAGTTCTTGTGTTACTGCATAGTAGGATGACTATAGATAACAATAAGGTACTGTATTTTTCAAAAGGCTAGAAGAAAGGATTTTGAAAATTTTCAACACAAAAAATTTATAAATGTTGAAGGAGAAAGATATGTTTATCCTGATTTAAATGGATGTATAGATGTATTGAAATATTACTTAGCATTTTGCTAATATGTAAAATCTTTATATTTTCACGTATCAGTTAAAAATCTGACATGGGCCAGGCATGATGGTGCATGCTTGTAATCTCAGAGACTCAGGAGGCAGAGACAGGAGAATCTGGAGATCAAAGCCAGCCTCAGCAGAGGTGAGGAACTAAGCAACTCACTGAGACCCTGCCTCTACATAAAACAAAACAGGGCTGGGGATGTGGCTCAGTAGTTGAGTGTCCCCGAGTACAATCCCCAGTACCCACAAAAAAAAAAAAAAAAATCTGATGTTAAGATTTTTAACTGATACATGAAATCTACTGCTATGTAAAATACAATGCACCAAAAAGGATAGAATTTCAATAGTCCAAGGACTTCTGCTTCTGGCCAAAATGGAATATCATGAAATACCATGTGCTGGATTTACCCACCACCTACAATTCCAGAAAACAACAAACAAATCTTATGAAACAAAATAGATCAGATGATACTCAATGAAGGTGAGTGATCCCTAAGAGATGAGAAACAAATCAGATAAGCATTATGTTTACCCCAACTTGAAAATATTTTTTGATTGCTGTGCAGTAAGGAAACCTAGTCAGAGCCTGTAAGTTTGGGTTGAGGAGACAGAACTGAGAATTAAGAGAGACTAAGGCAAACTGAGTTAGCAGGACAGGATATGAGAGAAGTAAATGTAGCAGAGAAAGAGAGAATTATGGAGTTCTGGGGAGGGTATTCCTCAAGTACTCAGATTGCTACAATAAACATTTGTTTGAAGAAACAACTGAAGAACTATCTCAAAGGACTGGAGTGAAATTGAACAAAAGCAATTTTGTACAAGTTCAATGTGTCAATTAAAATAATTACTTTAAACTCTGGAAAAATATTTAGAGAAAAAATTGATATACATTATGCTCATTTAGTTCATGCATCTTGCAAAAATATCGCAATTTCTTTTTTGGACATAATTTATTTGTATGCTTTATAAAAATAGAAAATAAAAATGCTATCGGAGGAGGGAAGAACACACATAGGGTAAGGGAACATGGTTTTCAAAAACAAAGGCAAATATTACCAGGGATAAAGAAGGCCATTTCATAATGATAGAGGGGACAATTAATCAAGAGGACAAACTTAGTTTTATTGGTGCTTTATAATTATACATAATAGTGGGATTTACTGTTACATATTCTTACATGCACATAATATAATTTGGTCAACTGCATTTGCCTACTCTTTCTCTCCCTGTCCTCCTGTTTCCCCATCTATCTTCATGAGAGAGATGAGAGGAAGAAAACTTATAAATATTTATTTATGTAAAAATAGAGCTTTAAAATTTACATGAAGCAAAAAAACATTAAAACTACAGAGACAAATAGACAAACCCATAATTATAGATGAAAAAGTAAACGTAACTATGGAGTCTGTAGATATGAACAGAAAAGTAAAGAAATATGAGAAACTTTATGAAAATATATCCAACACTGAGTAAATTCCTTGAATGTCAATGCCCATTCAAAAAGAAACAGATAATCTAAATAGCCATACCTGTTTGAGAAAATGAATGTGAAGCTAAAGACTTAACAACAAGAAAAACTTTAGTCCCAGATTGCTTCAGTGGTGACTTATAAAAAAACATTTAAGAGTAAGTAATTCCAGTTCTAAATAAGTGTTCCAGAAATTTAAATAGGAGGAAACACTTCCAATCTCATATAATGAGACCAATATTACCCTGATAACAAAATCAGACAGATATTACAAGAAACAACAGATCAATATCATGAACATAGATATTAAAACTGTAAATAAAATCAGTAAACAAAATTCAGCTATATATAAGGTCTAACTCATGATCAAGTTTATCCTGGGAGGTAAATGAGGTTTTTTTAACATTTGAAAAGCAACATAATTCAAATGTATGCCAATGTAATCAAAAGAAAATCCATGAGATTACCTCAATAGACACAGAAAGACTTTGATGAGATCTAACATCCACCTCTAATAAAATTTTCTTTAAACCATGAATGAACAGGAAAACACTTATTCCACTTAAGTGAAAGTACCTATGTAGAACATACAGCTAACACTATTCTTAATGGTGAAAAATGAATGCTTTCTCTTAAAATCAGGAATAAAAGAAGAATGCCCTCACTCTCCACTTTTACACCACACTGGACGTTCTAGCCATTCACATAAAGAAAAGATATCCATATTGTAAAGAAACAAAACTACCTTTATCAGAAATAATGTCATCTACATAGAAAAAAATGATGCTACAAATATGCCACAATGATGTTCACTATTTTGTATAATTAATACATGCTAATAGTATAAATAAAGAGAAAACTGATACAATCTATATAAAAGCTACTACAATAAATGATATTAGCAAGGCTGCAATATACAAGATCAATATACCAAAAAAAAAAAAACAACTGTAGGTTATCTTTCCCTCTGGAGATAGCTTATATTCTCCCTTAAATGTGTTCTCCTTGCATAGCCTCCAAAGTTTCTTACTACATAAATGTGCCAGCATTCTCCCTTGATGTATATTTCCTACTTTACCCTGCTAAATGTATTTCCCCTGAGATAGTTCACATTCTCTTTTGAATGTATTTCTGCTTTTTAAAATAAATGTCGCAAAAGTGTATCATATAATATAAAATCAAGGAATTAGCATACTATCACCTTAAATTTTCAAAACTTCTTTAGTAAATATTCAAAATACTCTTTTCCAGCCATTTTAAGAGGTGTGATGCATCATTTTTAACCATATGTGAGTAATAAATTTTAGAGGTCTGTGAAGAATGTCAGTGGCATTGTAGTTTTCTTAATTTTTCTTTCACTGATGTATAGCACCTCAGATAGAGCACTAATCTCTAGGATATATACAAAACTGAAAACACTAACACCAAAAATCAAATAATCCAATCAATAAATGGGCTAAGGAACTGAACAAGACACTTCACAGAAGATGAACTACAATTTATCAAAAAACATATAAAAATATTCATCATACCTAGTCATTACAAAAATGCAAATCAAAACTAAGATTTCATCTCACTCCAATCAGAATGGCAATATCAAGTATACAAGCAAAAATATGTGTTGGTGAGGATGTGGGGAAAAAAGTGCACTCATATATTGCTGGTAGGACTGCAAATTGGTGCAACCACTTTGGAAAGCAGTATGAAGATTCCTCAGAAAACTTGGAATGGAATCACCATTTGACCCAGTTATCCCACTCTTCAGTTTATACCCAAAGAACTTAAAATCGGCATACTACATTGGTGCAGCCACATCAATGTTTATAGCAGCTCAATTCACAATAGCTAAACTATGGAACCAATCTAGGTGTCCTTCAATAGATGAATGGATCAAGAAACTGTGGTATATATACACAATGGAATCTTACTCAGCCTTAAAGAAGAACAAAATTGTGGCATTTTCTGGTAAAAAGATGGAACTGGAGAATATTATGCTTAGTGAAATAAGTCAATCCCCAAAAGCCAAAGGACAAATGTTTTCTCTGATAAGCAGATGCTGATCCATAATGGGGGTGAGGGGAAAAGGGACTTTGGATTGTGCAGAGGGGAGGGAAGGCAGGGGAGAGGGTGTGGGAATGGGAAGGACAATGGAATGAGATGGACATTATTACTCTATATACATGTATGATTACACTACCTGTGACTCTGCACCATGTTCAGCCACAGGAAGAAGTTGTGCTCCATTTGTGTATAATGTATCAAAATGAATTCTACTGTTATGTATAAGTAATTAGAACAAATTAAAAAATAAAAATAAATAAACTTAGAGAAGGAATAAAAACAACATGGTTTTATTTACATATATACACACATACACACGATTACACTACTTATAAATAAATATATGTAAAATATATATATATATATATATATATATATATATATATATATATATATATAAATAAATGGGACAGGGTCTCCCTAAGGTGCTTAGGGTCTCACTACATTGCTGAGGCTGGATTTGAACTTGTGATCCTCCTGCTTCAACCTTCCAAATTGCTGGGATTGCAGGTGTGAACCACCATACTCAGCCTCATATGGTACTTTCTTGTAAAGAAATTGAAATTGTCCACACATCTGCAGCATCTTATTCCATACTGCATTTGCTCCAAGGGAGTGTGTATGATCTTGTCCTCATTGCCATGTTGACATACCAATTGTCGGCCTGGAGGGAGATGAACTGATGACATCCCTTCCCTAAAACCACTTTGTGGGTCCTCATCTCACATACACAGGCTGACTCCAAAGACTGATCTGGAGAACATGAAGCACTTTGATCACATTAAGTAGGTGCATGGATGTTAAAATATAAACTGTGTTTTGGGTATACCATAGAGAGAAAGTAGATCCTCAATAAAAGTGGAAGATACAGCCATCCCAAAAGATGAATTAATCTCAATATGGAAATATAGGTGACGTGAGAAAAATAAAGCAATAAGACTGAAAAAAGATCAAGAATGAGAACACGGGCTGGGAATGTGGCTCAGGCGGTAGCGCGCTCATCTGGCATGTGTGCGGCCCGGGTTCGATCCTCAGCACCACATACCAACAAAGATGTTGTGTCCGCCGAGAACTAAGAAATAAATATTAAAAAAATTCTCTCTCTCTCTCTCTCTCTCTCTCTCTCTCTCCTCTCTCACTCTCTCTTTAAAAAAAAAAAGAATGAGAACAGGATATCCATTTTTCCAATTCTTGTGTTATAAAGTACTAGAAATTTTAGCCAGAGCAATTAGGCAAGAAAGAAAAATTAGATACAAATAAGAAAGAAGGAAGTAAAATTATCCATGTTTGCCAATGATATGATTCTAAGAAAACCATAAGATCTCCACCAAAAGACTCTTAGAATTACATTTTGTAAAGCAGCAGGATACAAAATAAAAATAAAAAATCAGTAACATTTCCATATAAGCAATAATGAACTCACTAGGAAAGATATCAGAAAAGCAATCTCATTCACAATAGCCCCCCAAATGAAATAAGATATCCAGGAATAAACCTAAGGATGTGAAAGACCTCCACACTGAAAATTATAAAACTCTGAATAAAGAAAATGAAGAAGACATTAGAAGCAGAAAGATATCCCATGTTCATATTTAAGAGAATTAATATTGTTAAATTGGCCATATCACCCAAAGTGATCTACAGATTCAATGCAATCCCCATCAAAATATCAATAACAGTCTTCACAGAACTAAAAATAATCCTACAATTTATATGGAATTGAAAAATATCCTGAATTTCCAAAGCAATCCTAATCAAAAAGGGCAATATTGGAGGTATCACAATACCTGATTTCAAAACATACTACAGAGCCATACTAATAGAAACAGCATGGTATTGGCATTAAAAATCAAATAAACAAACAAACAAAAACAAGCACACAGAGCAATGAACTTGAATTAAAGACCCAGAAATAAATCCACACATCTAAAACCCACTGATTCTGGACAATGTGCCACAAACATAAATTGAAGAAGACAGCCTTTTCAACAAATGATTCTGGGAAAAAATGGATATCGATATGTAGCAGATTAAAACTAGATCCATACCTCTTACCCTGTACAAAAATAAATGTAAAAGGGTAACAGACCTAAATGAAAGATTTAAAACTTTAAAACTACTGGATAAAAACAGGCAATACACTTCAAGATGCTGGCACAGAAAATTATTTCCTAGATAGTACTACAAAAGCCCGGCATACAAATCAAGAATTGACAAGTGGAATTACATAAAATTATAAAGCATCTGCACAGCAAAAGAGAGAGTGAAGGGAAATCCCACAGAGGAGAGAAAAATCTTTGCCAGCTGTTCATCTGACAGAGGATTAATATCTGGAATAGGTAAACTCAAAGCTATCAACAAAAGCACAAATAATTCAATCAGTAAATAGGTCAATGATCTGAACAGATCTTTTCACACACACACACACAAAGCACAAATGGCCAATATATACATGAAAAAAAATGCTTATGCTCAACATCTTTAGCCATCAGGGACATGCAGTTCAAAATGCACTGACATTCCATTTCTCTCCAATCAGAATGGCTATTAGTAATAAATATATAAATAAATAAATACTGGTTATGATATGGAGAAAAAGGAATCTTTATTCACCTTGGAGGGAAAGTAAATCAGTAAAAACATTATACAAAACACTATGGAAGTTTCTTAAAAACTAAAAATACAATTACCACATGATTCAGCCATACTACTCCCAAGTATATATCCAAATAAAAAAATTCAGCATACAAAAGAGTTATATACATGTCCACATTTATTATGAAATTATTCACAATAGCCAAGATATGGAATCATTCTAGGTGCCCATCAACAAATGACTGAATAAAAAAATGTGATATGTACATAATGAAGTATTATTTAGCCCTAAAAACACTGAACTCATGTGAAGAAAGATGAATGGAACTGGAAGATGTCATGTTAAATGAAATACATCAGACTCTGAAAGACAAATATTACATATTTTCTCTCAAATGTGGAAGCTAGAGGAAGGAAAACAGATGATATGAAAATAGAAGAGGGACATTAGTGAATGGGAAAGGGCCCATGCAAAAGGGAGTGAAAAGGGAGGGGGAAAGAATGTAGAAAGTAGGGTGGACCTGATTGAGGTATGTACATGCATGTACAGAAATGTCACAATGTCACCCATTAATTGATACAATATGTTAATAATAAAGAAATACATGACATGTCAGATACTCTGCAAATAAACATTAGGATAAAACTTAAAGATTTTAGCAAATGTAACAAAATAATATATTTTTAATTTATACCTTTGCTCCATCTGAAATATTATCCCAGTTTCCACCACTCAAAGAGAACTTGCCATTGCCTATACGAAGCAGTATCTCTTCAGGAGTATCATTGGGGCCATTAGCAAATGGAGTGTAGCTATTGATAAAATAATTTCAATAGACATAAATGTCAAGCATGCATAATAAATATAATGGAGGAAATGAATATATAATTATATGTAAATATTTATTATAGAAAATTACCATCATCTAATTCTTACAATGTTAATATTAATTGTATACTTCAAATAATGAATTCTAATCCTAATAAAGTATTTAATAAAATTAAGAATCTTGCCTATATCATTTTTTCCTTTTGTCTTTGGTCCATTAATCAATGTAAAAAAAAAATAAGAGTGGCTTTCAAGTAAAGTTAGTTTTAGAACCATACCACAATAAAACACACATTTTGTATTCGTTAAGTAAGCAAACAAATATATTTACTCTGAGGGAAATGTTATTGATGTATATTTAAAATGTTTTTATTGTGTTAGTTGAATTTTTAATTAATATTTTACTTTTATCAACATTATTAGTGGAATAGGTCCATAATACTTTTAATGACTATATATAAAAAGGTTAAATATTTATATCAATATAATTAAAATCTGGAGGCATTAAAATTATTATGTAGATCAAATTACTCATGGATGGGAAGATAAAAAATGTCAAGTTAAAGTTGTTTTTAAAAATTAATCAGAATGAAAAAGTTAATCATATTTGTGCCATTTTAACAGGTGGAACTGAAATGCTATTGAAATTTGGGACTTGGAAATCTGATCCATAGTTAGAAATGCGTGGACTAGATTGTCTGAATTACCTCATATAACAATTAAATTAAGAAAATGCTAAATACACATATAAACCATAATTTCTCGTTTAGTCATGATATAAATATTTGAAAGCAGCAAGTTTCAAATAACATCCTATGGTTTAAAAACCAATAATGTTGACTGCATTTGATATGAAAATGTTAGCTACCTTTATTTTGAGCATTTGTTGTAGTTTATAACTGAATATTCTGCATAAACTTGAAAGATCTAAAAGTTATATGAAATTCAATGACATATGCAATTATCACTATTCCAACTGAAATTTCAAAGCAATTGTTTTACATTTTTATATGTAAAATTTGCATGTTTTTGTACCACTTAAAAAATTAAACATTAGGACTGGGGTTGTGCCTCAGTGGTAGAGCTCTTGCCTAGCATGTGTGAGGCACTGGGTTTGATTCTCAACACTGCATATAAATAAATGAATAAAATAAATTATAATTTTATTAAATATATATTGCCAGGAAAACTAGAATTCAAGTACCTAAAAAATGAACATCAATAAGTTCAATGGGCAAGTTCCTATTGAAATACAATTATCTTATGATCAGGTAAAAACATTAAAAAGTAATACGCTCAATGTAAACAATTAAAATATAAATGTACACTTTATTCTTAAAATCCCTTTTCTAATTACTATAACTCAACAGTACCTCATATACAGTATGTTGTGGTTTTAATCTTTTGAAATGTTAGGAAGATTTTTCTTCAGGTTATTTTTTCCTATTCTCTTTGTAAGATAAAGATATATAGGTGAGATTTAAACAATAACATGTGTATATCAGTTTCTTACCCAGCCAACATCGTGTAAAAAAGGACTCCTAAACTCCAAATATCACAAGCAGCATCATATCCCTGCTGCATAAGAACCTAAGAAAGAAATATTCGTTATGTGGTATTACTTAGTATAAATTCAATTTTCCCATCCAAAACAAAGTTGTTTTGCTTCTAATAGTCCCACAAACGCTCACAATATTGAAGTATAAATCAGTTTATATACTTAATATTGTAAGTAGTCTTCTGCAATTAGCAAGCAGTGAAAAAAATGGCATTATAGATTACTTTAGTAACATGGACCATACCGAAAAACAACCTTGACTTTAAAGAGCTTTCACCCCTCCACACAGGACCTGAGATATATAGACACCTAAATTTAAGACTGATACGTACAGAGAGTTTATATTATAAGAGTACTAAGACTTTTAATTCTGACGCTGACCCTATGCCAAAGGTATTATTATTCCAATTTTGAAGATGAGGAAAGAGACAGATGTTAGGTAACTTGTCCAGCATCACAAAGCTAGGCAATAGTAGAGTAGGCATTCTTACTCTAGAATATGTGCTTTTAATATCTATCATAACTGCCTCTTTAGTACACAAGATATGGTAGGATAATATTTTTTTCTTACATATGATGGATAAATGTATATTTTACATACAAGGCTGATGTATTGAGATCAGAAGTGTATTTCTAGACTACAAATACACATTTGATATATGTTGAATAGCTTTTTAAATTTTGCATACGTTTTTGCTCACTGGAACAGTATTAACAAAAATCAAATAATATCTTAATATTCATGTGGGATTTCTCTATGAAGTTAAGAGTTTGTTAGAAAAATAAAGATATGAAATTAAGCCTTTTGTATTTTTTAGAAAATAAGCCTACTGCTAAAGCCTCTAGACACAGAAACATTATTGATGCATTAACCCTGAGGACTACATCAACACTAGAATGGACTTTTCACCTATAAAAGGCTAAAACTATTAATGTTTGGTTTTACCAAATGGCAGGCATGAATAATGAGTATTTTACTGATTTAAAATGAGATATAATAAATTTTCTTATTCAAAGAATACAGGTGCAATAGTGAGAAGCTAAAGAAGGTATCCCAAATTATTAAAACACATATACACAGAGGGACAGAGATAGGGAGGGAGATGGGAGAAGAAAAAAAGAGAGATCAATTTGCCTTAAGTAAATAATAGAAGTAGAGAATACAGTGGCCTTAATAAATACCACTATAGATAAACTACTCATATCAGAGTAAACTTAAGTTGGTATGCTCTAGTAAAACATAAACCTTTACCGCTAGCTCTTTTTGTTTTCTCATCACCTCTTATAGTTGTGAGAATCCCATATTTTCTCTGATTGTCTTAGGAAGCTTTGAAAGCTTCCCTGATTATCCATTGCATAGCCACACTTGAGGGCCATTGTTTAAGCTAGGTAGGTGAGGGTTAAACAACAAATCAGCTATTGGTATTTCATATTTCTATATCCTTGCCAGATTCTGTGGCATGCACCTATAGTGCCATCTACTCAGGAGGCTGAGGAAGGATGATTGCTTGAGCCCAGAAGTCTGAGGCTAGTCTGGACAATACAGTGAGTCTTTTTCTCAAACAAAACAAAACAACCCAGTTATGAGAAAGTGTGCAGGAGGTGTAACTCTGCTTAAATAGGGCTGACCATGAAAACCTGATACTTAAAACACATACTGTATGGGTAAAGAAGAAGCAATTCACTTTTGTTCTAGATCTAGTCTCAAATGTCCTACAATAATGAGAACATGCAGTTACAAAAGAAACATGGTAGGGAGATGTGATGAATAAAAATACAGTACAGAGGCTTTGTCACACATGTTTTTACTTGCATTAAATTAAATACAGAGGAGAAGGAAATCACAATTCAAGTAGTCACTGCCATAACTTTATCTGAAATTTGGCTTCTTAAGTTAGCAAAAAGTAAAATATACAAATACGGTCATTCCCTTTGCTCTAAAGTTTAAATTAATTCACATTTGGATCAAAACATATGCCAGAGCCAGTGCAAAGCAGGGTAACTTCAATATTACTTTATCAGAAGCTGCAGACACAACATTCCTCAGATCTGTCATAAGCTCCATTCAATCATGAACATTTAGACCTAAGTAGGCATTAAATACAAGTTTAATAATATGACATAATTTTTCCTTCATAAAGTAATAAAAAAATGAAGATATATTAACTTTTGGGACACAGTTATGTAGTAAAGCACATCTATGAAGTAAACCTTAAGAGGTTGATTGAAGTGATGCATATCCTAAATAGTGAATGAATGTTCTCTCCCTATAATAAGGCTAAAGCTATAAAAATAAGTTGTTCTCTTAGTAAACCAGGACTCCATACGAACTATGATGAAATAATCTCAAATCATAAAAGGCCCATAAAACAGTGTCATGCCTGTTTTTAATATCAATATCTTAAAACAAAGGCTGGTCTGTAGCTCAGCAGTAGAGCACTTGCCTAGCAGGGACCTGGGTTCAATCCTAATGTAAATAAATAATATCTTAAAAAAGATTCATAAAATTTTAAAATGAGAACTTTTCATTATCAGAAAGATCCTAAAGAAAATCGGGGATACCACTGACCTTATATATTATACATAATGCTAACTGATATAAATAATTGCATGTTCAGCACAAATTGATTTTGTTGCTAAGCCATTGTTAGGTTTTGAAAAATCATTTAAGTTCTTTGAGACTCAGTCTCCTCATTTAGAATATGTAATATGTTGAGGCTGTGGCCTGTCTTTACCCTGTCTCCCAGTTCTAAAAATGGTATTCTAAAACTAGTATAAAGCCTGACAGAACAGTCTGATTATTATATTCAGATTGGTTTAAGATGCTCATTATTAGTCTGAATATTTACCTTAGGTATTACTGCAATTCACTAATTGAAAGAGTTTACAGCTGGGAAGGACAAGATAACTCAGCTTTTACCTGCCTGCCTTAACATACACATGGCATTGTTATGTTAATGAAAGGCAAACACAGAAGTATTTAAATACCTCAGGTGCTACAAAGTTTGCAGTGTAGCAGGGAGTTAAGAGAAGTCCATTTTCTCCTCGAAGTTGTTTTGCAAACCCAAAATCACAGATCCTAATTGAATCTGCATTCGCTGATTCATCCATGTATAAAATATTACTAGGTTTAAGATCACGATGAACAACCTTGAAAATAAAGTAAAAGAAGCATTACATTTATATAGCTAGCTAAATATTTGCCAAACAAAACATTTCAATGTTTCCCAGAAAAGAAACTCCTAATTATTACATATTGAAAATGACTACTGCTCTGATATATAGTCTAAAGTATACACAGAAAATTATCTCTTATCAGATATACACTCCAGTTTCCACTCAAGCCACCAGTGTTGTTAACCTTTTCCAATTTCAACTCTCAGTTCCACTTTTGGATATTATGGACTAAGACCTTACCAAATGTACCCCTACACACAGTAAACAACTTAAAAGCTGGATATAATATAAAAACTCAACTATATGAAGGTGCTGTGTGAATACAAGTAGAAAGAACCTGGTAAAAACACACATTTGGTGCAAAGAAGAAATATAGTGATCTACATGAGTAGGTTCCGGTAACTTTTAGCCCAGGGTTGTGTGCAATCCCTACAATACACAGTGGTGATAAAGACATGTATGGAAAATCCTGCAGTATTTCTGGCTTAAAGAAAAAGAAAATAGATTCTGGGGAACTATTAATGCTGACTCAGGAAATACTATATATAAGTGAAAGCCTGAACAGACTCCTGAAAAAAATTTGTAAAACAGCCAGCTCAGGGAGGCTGAGACAGAAGGATCAAAGCCAGCCTCAGCAAAAATGAGGCACTAAGCAACCAGTGAGACCCTGTCTCTAAATAAAGTACAAGTAGGGCTAGGGATGTAGCTCAGTGGTGGAGTGCCTCTGAGTTTAATCCCTGGTAAACCACTCCCAAACGTATACAAGATGGTTAAAGCAGCTCCTATAAAGACAAAAGATAGGAAGATACCAGAGCTGCTCCCCTCCAAATAGAAATTTTTTAATCAAGAGCAAGTTGCCTTCTTTTTGAAGAGACAGGTATATCTGCACAAAGTGGTATCTGCTTATGATTCAAGCTATTCAGGAGGTTGAGACAGGAGAATGCCAAGTACATGACTAGGTTGGACAATTTAGCCTGACCCTATCTTAAAATAAATTTATAGGGTTAGAGATGTAGCTCAGTGGTATAAAACTTTCCTAGTATGTGTGAGGCTCTGGGGCTAACTCCCAGTGCTGAAAACAAAAACAAACACACAAAAAAGACAGGAGGCAAAATAAGAAGTCTGCCTACCTCTCCATCACAAATATATTAATATTTCAAATGTTTGGAATCTAAATTTCTTACTATATTTGGGAGAGTGATAATAAGGCACACAGGAGAACTGCAAGAACTTCACATGTCAGGTATAATTTCAACAATTGTTACAATATGTCCTTCAATAATTGTTTCACTTTTAAGTTTGATTAGGTTCAATAATTCAAAGGCAAGATTAGGCATATCTGTATAGTTCAAACCATGTTTAAAACTAATACACTATTAAATCAAGGCCAAGAGACAGAAGAAAATTAATAAAGCACTAGCCAATTTCTTTAATACATAACCTTTACTACATTATGAGTTTTATTAGGATATTCTTTATTAAATATACAAGTGGCAGAAAAAGCAATTCATTTTAGGTGGCATCAACTCCTAATATAATTTCATGAAGATATAGATCCCATAATTATATGGAAGATATAACTTACTCCTTGACAATGAAGATAATCAACTGTCTTAGTTATTACATACAGTACATCACTAGCTTCCTGTTCTGAGAAACATTTTTGCTTGAGAATACGGTCCAGTAGTTCTCCTCCTTTCATCAAATCCGTAACAAGGTAAACATATCTACCATCATCAAAGACCTAAAAAAGAACATATTTTAAGGTGTTATTATTTGCAATTATAATTATAAACTGTTTAAATTATACTTACTTTGCAAGTGAACCTCTAGTATATAAAACAGATACATTATTTTTTTTACTTTGGTAAGTTATAGTTCATCAAATGATATAAATGAAAAAGTAAAACTCCATGACTTTCAAATGATATACATCAAGTTTTTTAATATATTATAGCTATTTTTTCATCCCTAACAGTGAAGTTTCTTTCCAACAGTAAGCATATTATTTGTCAGTCCATTTTCTGACCTGGTGTCTTAAGTATATACAGCATTCAAATAGTGTTTCAAAGAAAATAAATCAGAAAAATATTTATACCCTTTACACTCCAGGCATGTGACATGAGAGGAGCGTGTTTGTATGTGTACATACAAATAAATATATGTTCATTTTACAAATACTATTTAACTCAAGAAACAATCCATAATGCCACAGCCAACTGCTATATAATCAAGAAAATAAGCCAGGTGCAGTGGTGCAGTCCTGTAACCCTAGTGGCTTGGGAAACTGAGGCAGGAGGATCACAATTTCAAAGCCAGTCTCAGCAAAAGCAAGGTGCTAAGCAACTCAGTGAGACCCTGTCTCTAAATAAAATACAAAACAGAGATGGGGATGTGGCTCAGTGGTTAAGAACCCCTAAGTTCAATCCCCGGTACCCTCCCCCCAAAAAGAGAAAGTATAATCTTCAAGAACCTGGTAGACAACTATAGAATAATAAATGGTGCTAATTACAATGTTAACTACTTAACCAGCCAGAATATAGTGAAGTAATGAAGACACTCTCTTTTACCAACCACTATAGTGTTTTGTTCTGTTTGTTTTGTTTTTGGCATTCTATAAGAATAGGAGTACACAATCTTAGGAAAAGAGAAATAATGTGGTAAATTTAAAAGTCTTCACATTTTATAGTATGACATTATAAACAGTACAACTATAAAGATACAAGTCATAGCTTCTCTAATATAGATTATATTTATATTTCAAAATACTTACATCCTTTAAAGTAATAATGTTGGGATGCTGTCCATAGCGCATCAAAATTTCAATTTCTTCTGAGGGGTCTCGCTTACTTTTGTCAATGATCTAACAAATTGGATGAAAGAAAAAAAATCATTTTCTTTGTCTAAAATGAATGAAATATTTTCCATTTGTTTATACATATAAACAGATACTTAAAACTCAAGGATACTGCTTATTACATTAATATTTAAATATGTTCTATTACTGAAACTTAACAAATAAGAACTTTAATATTATATTCCATTTCTGAGACTATATTAAATGATAATGTGTTCCAAATGAATTGTAACTGTCATTGCCACTCAATCTTAATATGGTACATTAAAAGTATTCAAAAGCAAAAATTTCATGAAATGCATCGTTCCACCAAAAAAAGCCTTGCAATAATTTCAAAATGAAAATATTCTTAGAATTCTTTTGCATCATATTATCTCTCCTCTCTCTTTCTTATTCCATTGAAAATGTCTGTAGTTAACCTATATTTTAAATTGCAAATATCAAACAAACAAGTTAAGCTTAGTGACAATACCTTCACTGCAAATTCCAAGTTGGTAGCTGTATGTATACATCGCTTGCAAACAGAATAAGAGCCAACACCAATATCCTCTTTCAATTCATATATTTCACCAAATTGTGCAGCATTTCCATTTATCTGTTTTTATTTTAAAAAGTAAACAACTAAGAAGAATGAAATATTTTCACATTTTCTATCTTTTGTTCTAAATATATGTCATCTTAAATCTTAAAATCTCCAAAATAACTCATTCTAGAAAAGTTTTATTAATATTTATAAATTGGTTATATAAATTGTGAATCAATCTTAAATTACAAGCTTTCTGGTTCCTCAAGGCCAATATGATCAATCAATTAGATTTTGCCAACATTTTCTTGCCAATACAGATCATTAAGTATAATTTAAGGTTTTTAACTCTCTTTTATTCTGAACCACACAGAAACACATTTAAATTACTTTTTAAAAAAATTATGGAAAATCCACCATCAATAACAGAGAAAATAATTATCCCCAAACTTATATTTTCCCAAACCGAATAATGTGATTAAGTAGAATTTACCTGAACAACTGGCAATACGTTTGCACTTATGATTGGAGTGATTTTATATTCTTCGGCAATAGAAGTTGCAACAAAGCTAAATCCTTTGAAAAGCTGATGAGCATTTGCACTAGCTGGCAAACCAGGAGAATCTAATGTTCAAATAATTATATAATTAAAATTATACAGAATTTTATGGTATAAAATGTGAGCAGTTTTTCAAATGTAAAGGAAACCATTAAATTTGAACATCTGACATACTATTTGATTTATACTATATCATTTGTCTCTCATCCCTAGTATGCATATTCCATGTGGTCAGTAATTTTTGTCTCTTTCGTTACTGCCACTTCCTCACTGTCTAGTACCTGGTAGGCATTCAATATTTGTTGAATAAATATATGACTAGATAACACAATCAGTAAACCATAGCAAAATCTGAACTGAGTCAGTCTTATTTCTTGCCCTTTACCCTGTATTTCATTAGCATGTCAAAAGAATTACGAAATGGGAAAAAAAGTGCCTCCCACTTCTCTAGTCCCTGCTTCTCTGATAGATATGTTCTATTTAAAGACTCTACTTCACAGGAGGCCAAGAAACACTGTACATTACTCCTTGAAAACTTATTATTAATATTTTACCAAGGATTATAGTTTATTTAATCATCAATACAATAAAAATTGTGATTTTATGTGTAAGCATGCATTACTTACCTTTGGGCGTTTTTGCAGTAAATTCAGGATCAAAACAAAAAGTATCATCTGGTTTTCCAGAAGCAGGTTTGAAAGGTGGTTGAACTTCTCTTTTATATAATTTCTAGAAATAACAGGGTAACACAAAATACTTAACATTTAAAATGTTGTTATATATGTTGAGCATTCCTAGTCCAAAATCTTAATTCAAAATGCTCCAAATTCCAATATCTTTTGAATGTCAACATGATATTACTGTGGACAATTCCACAATAAAGAGCTTTGCAATGTTTTGAACAACCAATAAAAAAAATGAAAAAATAAATAAAATATATGATAGTGGAATACATTACAATTCATATTACACATATAGAGTACAGCTTTTCATATCTCTGGTTGTATACAAAGTATATTCACATCAATTTTTGTCTTCATACATGTACTTTGGATATAAAAAAAAAATCTCACATGACAGGTTGCAGCTAAAATGCAGGCTGACTAAAAATCTTCTGTAAAATTACCTTCAGGTTATGTGTACAAGGTATATATGAAACATGAATGAATTTCATGTTTAGACTGGCCCTATCCTGAAGGTATTACATACGAATATACAAATATTAAAATCTGAAATCTATAATATTTCTATTTTCATACACTTTAGACAAAGTAAGGTGAATTAGAACATAATATTCACAGTTCTTATATAAGACTCACAATTCCTTCAGATATCTGTTATTTAAATTCTTAAAAAATTTAGAGACAATGCCCCAAATCAATTGAGACCAAAAAACACAGCAATTATGCCACAACTTGCATTCACAAGGAATATAATATTCAATTTCAAGTATTAAAAAGCTGATTAAAATTCTCATTGGTGCTATAACCATATGGAGTATATCCTAATGTCAACCTGAAAATTAATCAATAATGTTTATATTATTAAAAATCAATAGTTAGACTATTTTCAATAAGTATGTATTTTAATTAAAGTACTATGATTTCCCATGGAAATGCACATTAAATGTACTATTTAGAGCTTTATTCACAGAATAAAATGCAGTATTTTAAAAAATATTTTTTAGATGTTGATGGACCTTTATTATTTTCATTTATTTATATGTGGTACTGAGAATCAAAACCCAGGGCCTCACACATGCTAGGCAAGTGCTCTTACTACTGAGCCACAACTCCAGCCCATAAAAATGCAGTCTTGTTTAACAATCTCATTTGCTAAAATTTTTATATTTAAAAACACAGTAGGGTGGAGCAAGATGGCAGCTAAGTTCCTCTGGCAATCTTTTCTCACAGACGCTCTGAATACCTATTCATCCATCAAACTACCTTCACAAAAGCTGATGAAATCAAGTCAGAGATCATAGTTCCAGTTTTTAGTATATAAAAAGTAAGCATCAAATAAGGCAGGAAGGAAAGCAATATAGTGCCTACAACAAACTTGCTTCATCACTAATGACACAGACTGTAAGTGGAGACATAGAATAAAATAGTCCATGCAAAAAGAACACAGGAATTATCAAGAACACACTTTTATCACATTAAACCAATCTTATTAAATGCAGAGACAAGGAAAAGTCTCTATATAAGGATAAAAGGGTCAATTCAGCAAAGTTAAATAACAATCCTAAACATATATAGAAGTACCTAAATATATAATGCAAATATTAATATACCAAAAAAGAGGTAGACTCGTACTACACTACTTAGGGACTTTTAACACCCTAATCTCAGCAATGGAGAGATCATCTAGACAGAATATTGACCCACAACGAGTGGAGTTAAATTGCACCAGAGACCAGTTTTTACCACTAAGAAATAACAAATATTTGAGGATACTCGTTAACTTAATTAAAATACTATACATATATCAAAGGACTGTTACTTAAATAATATGTATAATTTTCTGCTTTTACATGTTAGTTCAAAGTAAATTTAGTTTTAAAAGACAGAAAATATATGTATGCAAGAATGTTTTAGAAAATTACTTTTTCACAGCTCACAGTTCCATAGAAAAATTTAGAGAGAGTTACATTAAAGGAATTTTCACATATTGAAATATGTAAACTTTCCACTAATTTATTTAAATTAAAGACAATGAAGGGTGAGAAACGTTGATCAGTGGGTACTAAGTTACATTGGGGTAGAAATCAAAAGTTCTGTTGAACTATTGCATAATAAGTTCAATATAATAACAATAATGTACTGTACATTTCAAAAAATTTTAACAAAAGATTTTGAACGTTTTCAGTATAAAGAAATGATAAATGGGGTAAGAGGTTGTGACTCAGTGGTAGAGCGCCTGCCTAGCACATGCTGAATTTTATCCTCAGTATCACATAAAAATAAATAAATAAAATAAAGGTATCGTGTCCAACTACAACTAAAAAATTAATATTTTTTAGGAAAAAGAATGATAAATGTCAGAGGCGACAGACATGTTTACTCTGATTTAAACATTACAAAACATACATGTCTCTAAACATTGCATGGTACCCCATACATAAGTACATATTTATGTTTTAATGTATTAGTTAAAAATATAAATCTAAAAAAATAAACAAACTATTTAGATATAGCAATGGGAGAAATGTACTTTCCTTTTTTCTAGGTAAGTGGAAAGGAAGAATAGAAGAGCACTGTGAGAAAATGAAAAAGGAATACAAAGATACCTGAGATTTACAGAGATATGACAAAGAGCTAGCTTGCATGCATGCATGCCCACTCAGTAGTGTTTGGGGGTATTACAACCAATGGATTACAAGATGATACGGTTTTGCAATAATCAAATTTTGCCAACTGAAACTGTGGATGGTGGCACACGCCTGTAATCCTAGTGGCTTGGAAGGCTGAAGCAGGAGGATCCTGAGTTGAAAGCAGGCCTCAGCAAATTAGTGAGGCCCTAAGTGATTCAGTGAGTTGTTGTCTCTAAATGAAATACAAAAAAGACTGGGGATGTGGCTCTGTGGTTAAACACCCCTGAGTTCAATCCTTGGTACAAAAAAATAAAATAAAATTGCCTACTAAAACCTGTTCTACAAGCCAGAGGAAGAAATGATTTGATCAGTGAATAGCAGCTTTCTATCTCTGCATTAAAATAGATACTCTTTTCCTTTTGAGGGGATTTCAATACTCATGACAGAACCACATAATATCAAAAATGTTTAACTATGATTAACACATAAAATATATAAAGCTGCTCTATAAATCAAACAAAAACTAAATCTAAGAAACTCTTATTAGTTTGAGAAGAGCAAATTTTAAAAATCTATACATGACCCAGTAGAATTTATCAGTATGATTTCCTATCCTGTCAAAATTTAATAAGATTGTAAGATTCTTAATACATTTAAATTTTTCAATTAAATACACCTTACATTCTTCATATACATTTCCTATAAGAATCTGTTACGTACTTCACACCCATTCCCTTTTTCTTCCTCTTATATTCCCTAGCTTAGAATAAGGGCAAAAGATTAACTACATTTAACAGATATAACAATTGATAAAACAAAAATATACCATTACCACACACCTACTGGTTCATGATAAATTCCATGATTTGCAATATTTATAAAAAATAATCTCACTCTAAATATGACACATGGATTATCAGCAAAGTCCTTATATTTTACTTATAATTTTTATGCTCCTTCTAATTAAAAGTTATTTAAAAAAACTTTCTACTCAACTTACATTCCAGTCAATATTTGCAAAAAAAAGATGTCTTTTAATTTCCTCAACTCCTTCTGAACCTATAAAAATGGAAAGAATACTTTAATGGCATGCTTTAAAAAAATCTTGCTACTTGGTTTAATTGGCTATTATCTGTTAATAGGATTATACACATTTCATAGATTTCTCAAAGTGAAAACATCTATGATTTCTTTTCTGGCATGTTATTCATTTGTCTTTTTACTTCACTACAATAAAAAAAAAAAAAACCTGATGTGCTGAGAGCCATTAGCCAAGTAGGTATGACAATTTCCTTGCTAGCGTACCCCATGTTGCTTAGAGGAAGGACTCCTGGAAATGGACTTGCCTTGGACATTTACAGTGACATTGCATGTATGTTTGAGAAAGGTGACCCTGCTCAAGGACCAGGGTGGATCTGGGTTTAGGGAGGATCCTACTGGATTAGGGCAGATCCAGGTTTAGGGTGTATCCTGCTGGGAATAGGGAATATCCCACTCCTTGGGTTTAGGGCGGTTCCAGGTTTAAGGTGTACCCTGCTGGGAATAGGGCCTATCCTGCTGCCTCAGGCATGCCCCGCTCCTTGAGTTCCCTTAGAGTTCTCCTGGGATTCAAAAAGTATTTGGGACTCAGAGCCTGGTGGAATATGTGGATTTGGCCCTGAACATGGATTTCCTCAGAAAGTGTGTAGAATGTCGGTGTGAGTTTGGGAATAAAGAGTTGCTATTTGAATCTACAAGGTGTGAGTGGCTCGTGATTTTGTGCCCAGCCAGACTGCGGCACTGATGTTCATAATGAACTGTACAGGGTAGTGAATTTGTGTTCAATATAACATTAAAAGTATATTTTCTTTACTTCATAATTCAACCCAATAACTCAGGTTTGTATGACAAATTAAAAACTACAAGGAATAAAGTCATTCTATTATTTTAACTAAACAATTCAAATAGGATAATAGGATCACATCTAGATCCAGAGAAAGGCTATCAGAAAGTAATCATATAATAAGTATCAATGGCAACATTCTATTTATTTACTTTGAAAAATATTAGAAAGAACAAAATAATTATCCTCAAATATCTAAAAGGATTACCTATACAAGGTAAGATTCTGTGAATTATGTCAAAATAGGTAATCCATAACATATACATACTGATATACATAAAAGTTTTGATTAACTAGTCTAGTCTATTTTTTAACCTTTTAAACTTTTATATAATAAAGTTTATTGTTTCTAGAACAAAATGCACAATTCCAGGCATAATTGTGTAACAAACGCAAATGAACTTAACACTTAAAACAAGTAAGAATAAAGATGTAGTTATACTCCCCAAGTTGCAGTATATAATTTTAAAGATAAGAAAATAAGCATTACCTAATCTATTTGATGGATTTCTTTTGAATAACATCCTTAGAAGACTCTGTGCTTCAGCACTAAGAAACTGAGGCATTCCAAGTTTTGCTCTGAAAAAGAGGATTTTTAAAAAATTTTCCTTAAACTGATCACACTTGTAAATGGACAAATCTAAAAACAAATCTTAACTTTTTTTTTACAATGGCAAATAGTGTCCCTTATATTGTAGGGAATATAACAAAACATTAAAATGTTCTTTTGCCTCAATGTAAAATCAAATTAATTTTCCCCAAACTGAAAGCAAGTGATTTGTTTCGAAAATAAAATGAGTGTGCATACTTACTTTAATATCATATTCATGGTCTCATTTCTGTCTTTACCTTGAAATGGCAGAGTACCAGTAAGCATTTCAAACTAAAAGAATAAAATAACCGCAGAGTCAATTTAGCACAACTTAGAAAATATAATAAAATTTCTTAGAAAAAACTTGAAATTTGTAGTACATGATCATTAAATTATTCAAGATTTACATGAGACTGGGTCAAAATAGAACTAGAAAACTTGGTCACTTAAGGAAATAACATTGTTGACATGGGAATCTTAACCACCCCTCAAATGCTACATTTGTTAAAAATAAATTCTTTCCCCTCTAGCTGTCATTACCATTTTCTATTAATGTACCACTCTTTCAATCCCTAAATTTCATAAATTTTAGTGATACCTTTTTCTTTGATCTTTATCCTTGCTTTCATCTGTATCACTTAAACTGTTATTAAAGTTAGTCATGACTTCATTTGAAATGATTTCCTCTTCTTAAATTCTAGAATCTTACAAGTGTCTTGTAAGGCGTTCTTTTAGTCACCCTATTTCTAGTTTCTTATACTTCCAATCCACTTATATATTGCTGCCAAAGCTAATATTCATAAAGTACATATTTTCTCTAACTTGCATCCTGTTTAAGAATCTACAATATTGTATTACTTCTCAGAAAATCAACACAAACACTTACAGGTTTGCAGTTTCACTTCCTCCAACTTTGCCCTCTTTCTTCACTACTCTAGTCAAACTAGTTCCCAAAGCCTTTGCTAATATCATCATAATCCTCTCCTTCTTGACATGCAACGATTCAAATTTTACCTATCACTAAGGGATAACCTGAGTTCTAGCTCCCCTACTTTTTCTAAATCAACTTTTATGAAGTTTCTCTGAATCCTAAAGTACTTCTGGATAGTTTATTTAGCTATTGCAATTGTTTCCACAACCAGATTGTATGTATTCTAGGTCAGATAAAATGCCAAATATACTTCAAATCAGTTTCCACCTCACTGATGTGTCATACACTGTGTCATTCAGTGATAAATAGGCAAAGTGGATTATCAGATGTCAGAAGCAAATTATATCTGATTTAATAGCTATTTACCTATCATCCTACTCACTGCTATATATTCTATGTGTAATCTCATATCAAATTAGTCAGTCTGTCTTTAATAAGCATCTAATAAATGATCCCTAGTCTAATTACTGTGTGATGAAAAGTAACACAAAACACAATTCTTCCTTTCAAGAGGATTACATTCTAGGCAATGCCTGAAACAAATGGACAATAAGACATTGTATGTTAAGGTGATAAACTCTGAGATATCAAATTAAAATAAAAAATCATATAACTGCTAAAATCAGCATTCTGAAATCTAGAATCTGAAATACCTTGCTCAAAGTCTCAAATTTGTAAAGTTTATAACAATGCTGCCATTTACCTTTGTAGTAACAACTTCAAAAGACTAAAATCCAATTATTTTAAAACAGCTAGCCAACCACAACTTTTAAGCATTAATCATGAATTAACAGAAGCTTATTTTTAGTGACACATTCCAAAATTTTAACTAAACTAAAATTCTAAATAATATGAACTATATTCTTACATGATTAATAAAAATAATACTACTTACCATAAGTACACCATATGACCACCAATCAGCACTCTGTGAATGGCCTCTCCTATTTACTACTTCAGGAGCCATATACTCCACTGTACCACAAAATGAGTAGGCCTTCTTTTCCTGATCTACTGACTCCTTGCTGAGTCCAAAGTCTATAACAACAATATAAAAACATTGAAAACCTTCAGAAAATAGAAAACAACAACAAAAAAATAAGGTGTTAAACATGAAAACAATTAATGGACAGTCTAAAATTACTCCTAAGAAAACTATACAATGAGACCAACAATAGAAAACAGCCTATATTTCATAATGATACACTTGAAGAAGCAAAATACTGTTGGATTAAATCTCATGATCACAATACCTACCTTCAGGTCTGTGCTACAGTATCATGCAACAGTTTTGAAAGAATAACATTTAAATCAAAGTTGTCATATGGACCTAAACTTTAAAACAAAGGTGAAGTAGCAATTTAGAGTTTTAAAATTTTTAAAAAGCAAAATTTTGCTAAGGCAAGTTGCATTTTTGTTTGGAGCCTTCAAAAAACTAAATATATCAATATAAAATCAATTTTATTTTTATTTACTAAGAACTGAGATTTGTAAATTGAAATTTTAAAGGTACCATTTTAACACTCCCCAAATCCCAAGAAACCCACAGGCAAAAATATACAAAATATATGCAAAATTTGTATGCTGAAAATTGAAAACTTTTGTAAAAGTAATAAAAGTAGACCTAAATAAATAGAGAGAAATATTGTGTTTATTGGCTGGAAGAGTCAATGTTGTTGAGAGGTCACCTTTCCAAAAACTGATCTATGGATTCAATTAAAAACTTCAATAAAAACCCCTGCGATTTTTTGTTAATTCAACAAATTGATTCCAAAATTTATATGAAAAGACCAAACCTGTACCTTCTCTTTCCCTCCACTGCTAACTTCCTCTGCCCCATGAGGTGCATGCTTTATTCTACTAAATCCCCTTCTATTTTTATTACTATTTTCATTAGTACATTAAAATTATATATGAAATCTGTATTCATTGTGGTACACTTGTTTCATAATCTGGAAATTTCATTCCCTGTAACTTTCCCATGTTCTCCCCTAATCTCTTCCTCTCAAACCTCTTCCACTACTCTACTGGTCTTCTCTCTATTTTCATGAGATTCGGGGTTTTTTTCCTATTTTTTTTAAATCTACAAATTCCACATATGCAAGAAAACATTTGACCCTTGGCTTTCTGCGTGTTTTTTTTTTCCATCTCACTTAGCATGATGTTCTCCTGTTGCATCCATTTACCAGCAAATAACATAATTTTATTCTTCTTTATGGCCAAATAAAACTCTATTGAACATGTACACATTTTCTTTATCCATGTGTCTTTGGTGAACACCAAGAATGATTCCATAACTTGCTGAGTGTGTCACTGTTAAAAGATTTTAGTGTTATACCTCTAACTCCATTTCCCCCATAAGTCCTACAACTTCTACTATATGATTTTGCATACTGCAGTGATTAACATCACATTAGGACCCACTGTAACAGAAATGGCTATATATTGCCAAATGATGTATTGGAATATTGCAAAAACAATTCCATTGAAAGTCAGATTTTTAAACAAGTCATGCCAGAATAGGAAAAATATTAATAAAAAATCCATCCTCATGCCAAAAGCAAAGATTAATTCAAAATGAATCATAGACCTATATTCTCATAAAATTTCAAATTATAAATTTCCAAAAGAAAATGTAGAAAGAAAAACTTGGTGAACCGGTGAGATAAGAATTTCTTAGATACAACATCAAAAGTATAATTCATAGAATAAAAAAAGCTGATGTACTGGATGTCATCACAATAAAAACTGGTCTTTAAAAATATTCTAAGAGAATCAAAAAGAAGCTAGATGGGAGAAAATATTTGCAAATCACATATTAGATAATAGACTTATATTTTTAGTATATAAAACCCACAAAATTCAATATGAAAAAACTAATCTAATTTTTCCAAATGGGCAAAAGATTCAAAGAGGCACTTCTCCAAAGAAACCTATACATGACAAAATGCTCAGTTTCATTAGTTATTAGAGAAACACAAAATAAAACCATAATTAGATATAACTACATGTCTATTAGAATAGCTAAAATAAAACATATTAACACCAGGAACTGGAAAGGATAAAGGGCAACTATGGGTCTCATACACTGCTAGTGGAAAGGCAAAATGGTACAACCAAGCTGGGAAAAAGTGTGGAGGTTTCTTATTAACTATACACTTACCATATGATCAAGTATGTCATACTTAGGTGATTACTCAAGTGAAATAAAATGTATGTTCATGCAAAAGCTTATATACAAATGTTTACTGCAGTTTTATTCATTACTGCCCCAAACCGGAAATAATCCAAATACCCATTAATTGCCAAATGGATAAACAAACCAAGGTACCACCATAAAATGGAAATATCACTCAGCAATTAAAAAAGTAGTGATACATTCAACAATACAGAAGAATTTCAAATGCAGTACCCTAGACAAATACAGCTGGGCTTAAAAGGCCATATAATGTATGTCTATGTTTATATACTTCGTGGTAAAGGCAAAACTGTAGTAACAGAAAGTAGGTAATTGTTAGCTTGAAGTAAAGGGAGGACTGATTTTTAATGGTCTAATTTCAGGAGCTATAGAACTATTTTGTACTATTATCTTGTTGCTAGTTATAAACGTATACTATTTGTTAAGACTTGCAGAATCATTTTTTAAATAAAACTTTATATTTTAAAATAATTGCAGTTACGTAAAACATTACAGGCATCTTATTTACCCTTTCCCCAGTTTCCCTCATGATAACATCTTGCAAAATCATAATACAATAAAATAGCCAAGATATTGACACTGGTGCAATCAAGATATTGATTCCCATTACAAGGATCAGAAAGAACAGTTTTACTGTATGTGAATTATACATAATTTTAAAAATAAAAAGCTACAAGACCAATATGGGTCACATTAGATTGGGTAGACAGAAGTAATGGGAGGGGAAGGGAGGCGGAGGAATGGAAGAACAGCAGAATAAAATAGACATTATTATTGCTGTGGATATATTCGTGACTGCATGACCAATGTAATTCTGTAACCTGTATACTTAGAAAAATGAGAAATTATATCCCATCTCATTCAAATGTATGATATGTCAAGATCATTGTACTGTCACGTGTAACTAATAAAAAAAAGAAATAAAATAAATAAAATAAAAAGCTACAAGACCAATATTACGTCTTATGATAGAAGACAACAATAACAATTTTAGGGCCCCTCAATGCAGATTTTCTCACAAATGTTCAATATTTTCATTTAAAGTATCTCTTATCCTTATTTAATAACTTTATAATTTTAATATTTAAAAATCTTTTTAATCTTAAATATTAACTTTTTTTGTATTTTGAGACTTTTAAGACATGCACATTCCTTTTAGAAAATTAAATATTAGAAAATTAAATATAATAACAGTCTTTGAGGTCAATTCAGCTTCATCTCTTATAGAGAAGGATACTGGCTTCTTTGTTCACTTCAGGGAGAGGGGGAAAAGGAAGAGAATTTTTTTTTTTGTCTTTCCGTTACTTTCCAGAGATTTACGCCAAGAGATAAAAAGTTCCTTTGTCATAAAATTTCTGACAAAACTGATGTTTAACACTAAAGTCTGCTCAGCAATTAAATTTTACCATTATAAAACAAGCCACAAGATTAAATGAGATAGATATTAAACACTGGTTTTTCCAAGCAACTAGTTTGGAAAAAAAATATAGAAATCAGTGACATAAAGGAAGGGTTTTGGGAAGAGGAGGTCAAGAGTATATTTCACATCATTGCAACCTTAAATGACTCTAAGATTTTAAATTTTAAAATGCATGCCCAGAACACAATCAAGTTGATGAGGATTTATAATTAAGCAAAAGTAATTCTAATGATAAATTACTAAAATGATTTTCTTATGTACACATTTTCTCTAAAATACTTAAGAACTGTGTGATTTAAATTTTTATACATTTCTCATTCCTACCTTTCTTACCACCCCCTAAATTATGGCCCTCAAAACCATATTATAGCAACTACAGAATTTAATTCTGAGTTCAAGTTATATTTTTAATGTGTTATTATTATTATATATTTTTTCTACCAATAGGAAAGTCCTTCTATAATTAAGATTTTTTATATACTATAGAGGGTAAGTTTTCAGAAATATTAAGTCGTGTACAATATAAATAGTGCACAAGCAAGTATGCAGATATCTGTGGATATCTACTCTACTTCTAGTAATGTTTGGCTATACAATCTAATCTCAGTATGAGACAAATAATCCTGAAAGTACCATTAAAGCAGAAACTTTTCTATAGTCCATTGCCATTCCACAGTAGCTTGTTAAAACATTAGGTCCATTCCTAAGGTTTCTTTTGCAATACCAGAGATTGAATCCAGGGGTGCTCTTACCTTGAACTGCATCCCCAGTCCTCTTAATTTATTTTGAGACAGTCTTATTAAATTTCCCAGACTAGCCTTGAACTTGTGATACTTTTGCCTCAGCCTCCAGAATAAATTGGATTATAGGTCGATTCCACTAACATCCAGCTGTCTTGAGAGGCTTGAATATCAACAGGTAGGGGGAAAAAGACCAATGCTTTTGTCTAAGATTACTCTTGGGAAAGTTTACAATGTTGGAGATGATTCTGCCTAGATAAGACATTCCTTAATCACTGTAGTCCACCCAGAGCCCACTGGTATCAATGAAAACAGCAATCAGCCTGCTATATTTTGATTATAGTGTTTAAAATGTCAAATAGAAAATAGGAAAAGAAAGAGAAGGAAAGACAAAGCAGGGGAAAAAGGCAGAAAAAGAAGAAAAATTAAAAGGAAGGAAGGAAGTATAAAGAAATTAAAGAAAAAAATATAATAGAAGAAAGTTTAAAAATAATTGCTGTAAAGGGTCTCACTTTAACAAACCTTACTGGAATACTTCTGAGGTTTAATCCACAAGTGTACTTTTTATCACAAAACTCTGAATTAGGTTATAATCATAAAACTATAAATCACCAAATAATATTCATTATTGTATATTTCCTTTAAAATAAATAGTGGTACAACTGTAACAAAAATACTCTGCATTGTAAAAAGAAATAATAAGTCATATTTTCTTACTATCACATACCTTGTGTCCAGTGCTTATAAACTAACATTGATCCTAACTACTCTTTCCTCCTCAGCCAGTTTAAGTCTCTAAAAACTATAAAAAAGCAGAATTTCAATTAGAAGACTAAATATAATACAACTTAGCATAATTATTCACCCAACTAAACTTACTGTGGTGGAGAGATAAAGGTAAAATTTATTCTACTCTTTTTTCCATCTCCTTTTGTCATCTCTGACAAAACAGATATGACATATTAAGAAAAAAATGAAAGGAGCAATTAAATTCCAATTAGCTTTTTGATTAAAGTTCAATTGCTTTAAAATAAAAAAATTATATGTTATATAAAATTTCAAAATTCTTTTGTTCTTTCTTCATACTTTTTCTTTTCAGCTTTCAATCCCTTGCAAACTTACACTGTTTCTTAGATATATGAAAAAGAGAATCAGGCTATGAAACAATAAGATTCACTAAAATTTGTATTAACTTTGACACATTTACTTTTGTTTTCAAAGTAACACCTTTATACTTTAATTTTACATTGATGCAGTGCACTAAGGAATTTAGAGCAACTAACCTTCTAAACTTCTACCAGTATAAAATTGTCTGTAAAGATTAAATCTTCATTTTATCTCTTTTCTTGCATGCTGATAATTAAATGTAGAATTTACTATCTACTCAAAGCATATGTAAACTTTGAGATTGGTCCACTCAGCAAAATGCCTTTGAAACCCATGCAAATTATACCAAGAATTAATGGTACTTTCCTTTTCATTGCTGAATAGGATTCCATTATATGGATGCATCACTGTTTATCCATTCACCCTTTGAAGAACACCTGAGTCTTTTCCAGTCTTGGGTTTTTACAAACAGAGGAGCTTTGAACACTCATGGATAGGTTTTGGTGTGAATGTAAGTTTTTACTTCTAGAGCTAAACAGGAGAGTGATTGCTATGTCGCTCTACAAAACTAGTTTATATAATACTCTCAGAATAATAAAATTATAGATATAGAACAGAAAAGGGTTTGCAGAGTAAATAAATGGGGACAGAGGTTGTCACTATATTTCAAACATCATGAGTATTGTAAAATCTTTCAGTTTATGCTGAAAATAAGATCATGTATTTTAGGTAGAAAATCAAACACTTTTATTTGTACAGTGCCTGAATTTTAAATTATAATTAAAATTTAATAAAAGCTACCTAATCTTTAATTAAACATTTCACTAGATTAACAAAATGCAAATCGAATGATGAAAGAAAAAAAACAGACTGAGACAAATAGTAAAATAATGAAAAATGAAAAACATTGGGTTTAGTACATATAAAAATTTGCATACCTGTTAACTTGATATGTCCTATTTCATCAAGCAAAATGCTGCAAAACAAAATTCACATTCAGTAAGATGGAATAAAATATTTCATATAACACATTTATATAAAAACATCATAAATTTAAAACAGGTCATTATTTGGTATATTAAAACATTTTTAAGTAATTAACTTAAAATTAAAGTTTGTTCATATAAAGATTACTTTTAACAAATCAGTTTCATTATGTAGTTTAGGGATTGTGGCTCAGCAGTAGAGACCTCGCTAGCATGTGCGAGGCGCTGGGTTCAATCCTTAGTACCACATACAAAAATAAATAAATAAAATAAAGTTATTGTGTCTAACTACAACTAAAAAATATTTAAAAATTAAAGCATGTAATTTTTACAGAATTTTTTTTTAAAAACGTAATGGGTTATGTCAAAATGTAGTTCTCATAGTAGAAACATAAAAAACAGTGATACATAAGGAGAATATAGTTTTACTTTTCTGGCTTCAGGTCTCTATATACAATTCCTAATTGATGCAGATGATCCAAAGCAAGGGCCAGTTCTGCGAGGTAAAATTTCACATCTTCCTCTGTAAACAGAACCTGAAATAAAATAATAATATACCATTTGATCTTTCTTCTAATATTGAGTATTTTTTAAAATGTACTTCTTTAAAAACCAGTAGACAAATTTGGGAAAATAATAAGAAAATGAGTGTAGTCAATTCTTATTGATTGGAATAATGATTATGTATACAAAGAATTAAGATTTCTAGATAGGTGAAACTAATTTCTTTATGAATATTTTTTCTTAAATATTACCCATTTTAATGTTAATCTTTCTAAAACATGATATTTTTATATCTTCTATACTAAGTATACTACATACAATTCACCCTTTTTGATTATCTTGTGGTATACTTAGGTATTTGAAGTATATGATATTTTGCTTTAACACTGGTAATTCCATTATTTGTTACTCTTTTTCACCATCTACTCTCACTTCTCAGGTATTTCATTTCATTCAGCTATACAAACTGAAAGTCTCTAATATACCACTATGAATTGTTAAACTAGTAGCTATTATATCACACACAATTCTAAACTCATCTCCGATCTAAGAGGTACCTCTAAGCCTCTTCTGTTAGCAAAGTTTATGAGTTTAATGACACTGTATTCCAAAATCTTTCTGTGCTTGGAAAGAGAGCTGTTATAACAAAATGAACACAGTATTAAACTTGAAACCAGAAAACACAGTTTAAAATCAGACATCACTTAACCCCCTTAGCCTCAGTTTCTAAGTCTAAAAAATAAGGAAAATATCTGTATTATTTCCCTCGGTTCTTGTCAGAATTAAATTAGTTTATATGGGACAAAAATATTTTTAAACTATAAAATGTTTTACGTACAACAAGAAGCTATTGTTGTAACAGTTTACATCTATATTCATTCACAAGTAAATGTTAATTTATATACCAAATTTGGAACTATTCCATGATTACATGTAAATTTTAGAGTTTATTAAGGGCTTCCAATTGGCAAAAGTTGTTTTTTTTTTTTTAGCCCTGAGTTATTTTCATTAAAAAATGGGTCATTAATAAGGCTCAAAATTTGAATAAAATATCATAAAATCCAATAACCAGTTTTGACATTTAGTATTATGGCCACAACATTTCACAATACATAATTCAAACTACTAATAAAACTCCAGAGAGTAAGCAATTAAAGATACTTTTTAAAATGATCAATGGAAAAAAAACAAATATTCATTATCTAAGTTTCAGAAGCATTAATTTGGACTGTTTATATTATAGAAAACAATACTTGTTACTTGTTTAAACTTACGGGCAAGAATAATCAAAATGTTCATTGAAACCTAACACAAGAGTAAACTCTAAGTAAAAGTTTTTTACAAGTATAAAGGAAGAGGGCTAGGGATGTGGCTAAGGGGTAGAGAACTTGCCTAGCATTCATTAGGACATGGGTGGTTTGATCCCATCAGGGGAAAAAAGAAACTCAAAGGAAGAAACATTGTCTAGATTAAAGTTTATGTCAAACCTAACATCAAGCCATGAAGTTCTCTGGGTACAAACCTCATGATTTATACAAATAAGAAATTTACTAAGTTACAACTATGCACCAACTATAATTAATTATATGTTAAACATTGTACATTCATTATTTTAAGAGTCTGCAAACAACTCTATGAAGTAGGTATTAGCTACATCTTACAAATGAGATTTGGTGAGAAACTAATTTGCCCAAAATAATATACCAAGTATGAAGGTTAAGGATTTAAATACAGGGATAGGATATGTGCCCCTAAGAATGATCTTTTCCACAGAAGCCACTTCTATCACCTGACATACTATGATTTCTTTCTAAATTTTAAGTTCACTGCCAATAATGTTTTCATATTTTTTAATTACCCTACTCATAAATCCCTCTCCAAAATGAAAATCATTCAAAATTTCAGTATGAAGAAAAACTCTCTTAATCTGTTATTACAGTTTTATTACATTATTTGTGTTTATATGTGTATGAATGTATGAATTATAAGAACATACTTGAAGTCATGCTATACATATTAGTGTTCTCCTTTATCAGAATTTAATATTATGTTATAATATTATATTATTTATCCTAACTTAAACAGTTTTCAACAACTGCACAGAATTAACCATACTCATTTGCCATGATGTACGTCACTGTTCTCCTGGATAATTAGGATATTTTCAGTTTCTCACTGTTCAAAATAACTATGAAATAGGTATACATCTTTATCAGTATAATGATTATTTTCCCAAAATGAATTCCTCAGGAATAAAACAGGTATAAATAGGTATAAATAGTCCAAGATTCCTGATATACACAATAAAATTGGTTTCCAAAAAGGTTACAATAGTTTCCACTCCCATCAGCAGTTTAAGATGGCATTTGTCTTTCCACATCTATGACACCATCAAATAAACCATTAAAAGTCTTTCTACATTTGATATACAAAAACGGGATCAGTGTTGATTTAATTTAAATTTTTATTCATATCGTGAACATTTTTTGTGTTTAGTAGTATGTTTTTATTTTCATGAAAAAACAGTAATGTTTTTGCCTGTTTTCCACTATTAACTTACTATTAGGTCAATTGGTACAGGCCTTTTAAATGTTAAAAATGTCATTTCTCCATCATATCAGTTGCAAATATTTTCCAACTATGTGTTGTTTTTTAATGTTCAATAGTTCTTACTTTTATATAGTGTAATTTATTCATCATTTCTGCATGCATTTTCTTAACTGCTATAATGCTTAATAAGACCTTCTCCATTCAATGGTCAACTTAATATTTATCTATATTTTCTTTTAGGATACAGTAATTATTTTCCAGACTTAGCTCTTTAATAAGAAAAATTTACATTTTATATGATATAAATGGTATTTTCAATTAAGAAAAAACTAACCAATTCTCAAATACCATTTACTGAACAATTTGTTTGCCACAAATCTATGATTCTTCCTTTATACATAATAATATGTATAAAATTATACATAATAATATGTCATATATAATAGGATATTGTTAGGCCACATAGTATACTTCTAATCTTACTTTGAAACTGTGATATGTTGTTTATAGGGCCTTTATAAAGGCTGTTGTTGTTTTTGAGGCAGATCTCACTATATTTCCCAGGCCAGTCTCAAACTCCTGGGCTTAATAGATCCTTCTGCCTCAGCCACTCAAGTAAGCTGGGACTACAGGTGGACACCACTGCACTAAGTTCAAAGCTTTAGAATTTTAACAAAGAAATAGAGAAAAGGAAGAGTGCTCTTTAGAATTTTCAAAATTTCTTAGTTTTTTTTTCATTTGTTTAATTTCCTGCCCATAAAATAATTATGTCAATTTCAAACAAAAATTCCTATTGTAGTTTTGTTCAAATTTTGTTAAAACTATGAATTAATTTTAACCAACAGCTTAAAAATAACCAGTCATTCATTAAACCATATTTTATTGATGTTAGTAAAGTAGTGAATAAATTTTGTGTGTTTGTATGTGTACTAGTATGTGTGTATGTGTGTGTGTGTGTGTGTGTGTGTGTGTGAGAGAGAGAGAGAGAGAGAGAGAGAGAGAGAGAGAGAGAGAGAGAGAGAGAGAGAGAGATCTGTGGAAAAGAGATATTTTGAAACATACATTTCCTTTAAAATATAAATAATATACACTATAAAATTCCTTAAAACATACCAAAAATGTACTTTCAAAAGTGTATTTCTAAGGAAAAGAGTAAGTCTTATATTGGATTATTTAACAATGTTTTTATATATACAAATGAAGTATAACCAACAAACAACTAATTATAATACTCTGCCTATAGAAGTAAACATTGAATCAATTTTTTAAGCCTGTTCAATGAATAAACTAATTTATTTTCTTTGGGAAATGCATTTAAAATGCTTGCTCTTACCTAATATTCCAGACTTAGGAATCAAAACTTACTGACTGCATCTCTGTGCTAGTATGGGTTTAGATAGTCCCACATCGAGAATGGAGGTCTGAAGAGTTTAAAAGAAAATTAGAAATGACTACAAGTAAGTATTTTTCACAAACATTTGTGACACTTCTATAATCTAACACAAGAAATAATGAACTCTGGAGCCTTGTCATATTGCTGTCCCTATAAACCTTGGGATCAGCTTTTAAAAAATTCTTTAAAGAACCATCTTGGAAGGGGATTCCTACACAGACCCTATCATATACTGAATTCTGTTCTATAATGATAAGTATACCAAGAACACACTCTATGTTCATGCATGGCATGTCACTGTAGTAGAGATAGAGATATATAAGGCAGAGACCTTAGCCACTTAATCACTGGCTAATATCCCAGAAACATATTCTTCCTTTTTCACAGCAAGTTCCATAGCTCTGGGAAACCACAGTAACTCTCCCACACCCAACACTGTAGATTCTGCAAGTGAGATTTTGAACCACTATTATCTAGTTAAAACAGTCCTCCCAGTCTATTTCAGGACAAAATGAAGTAGACAAGGACTAGAGTTGTTCTCCTGCCTGAAACATCTAAAACACAGGACAAAATATATGAAATGGTATTTTTAAAGACAATGGACAACTGGTAACAAAAGACAGCGAATACTGAAAGATGAAGAACAAACAAGGCATGTCCTAAAATTTCCCCAGCTTACCACCTGAAAAAATTTCCAAGTAGTAGTGCAGGGAGGGCTAAATTAAGTGGAGCCCAGAAGAGTATCCGATGTAATGAGTTGGAGCTATCGGTCTGAGAGGAGAACAGAATTCACAGGATAAAGAGATAGAACAAAGAAAATAGCAGAGAGAACTCTAGAGAGATGTAGACAGTTTCCTCAAGCATACAGCAGAGAAATGCTTAGCATATAGAAGTGAAGATATTACTCTGAACCAGGAAAAAAAAAACAAGGATTATAGGGATCGATCCATGGAACTCACACTAGGCCAGTAATAGTTCCCATTTCCTCCAACCAGAGCAGAAAAACCTCATACATAAAGTATCAGAGTAATCAGAAGGGTTTTACTTCAATAGTAGAGAAAAGTTAACTCCTGGCCAAATGCTATTCTG